GCCGATGAGGTGAAAGTACTGGGTAGTGTCTGCATTTCAGGCACCAAAAGGTTCCAACGACGTTCATAGATAAGTGCCTGGATGTAGCCAATGATCACATGACAGTATCATTTTTGTTGGGGACGCTGCAGGTCTCAAAGTGAAGAAGATGGTGATAAGGATGACGGTGCGCTCTGATGTCGACCTCACTGACTCCACAGTCACTGATGCTCTCCTGAAAAAAGTAAATAAAATATGTTTTGATGATTTATTCATATTTAATAGGTTTACAGACGCATTGATGTGACACAGATGGGCAGGTAAAGCTATTTCTGGGGATTTGTGGAGTGTAACAGTGATAAAGGGTTTTGATTTGTCTAACACTGTGTGTCCCCTCAGTTGGACGCTGCTCTGAGACAACAGTCGGTGACTGATTTCAAACTCAGCTGGCAAAGGGACAACAGTGGACTCGTCTTCCAACGCCGCGAGCAGTCAGTCGGCGGTTGAGAAAATCAGTGAGTACACAGTTTGCTTCCTAATCTCAAAAGACTTGGAGTCCTTTCGAATATAGAATTTGACTTCGAGCAGTCATCAGCTGAGACCTTTTCTTCTCCTTCTCATTACAGGATGCTAATTGTAGCGTTAGCATGGGTGCCCCTACCGATTCAACACAAGAGTTGACTTGTTGAAGAATTGAGCGATCATCTTAATACTGTATCGGTGAAGTGTGTAGGAATAGATGAATGTATCCTCTTGAAACTAAAAAAATGAAGTAAATGAAATATTTAAATGACCTCTTTGCTTGTGTTGAAGTGGTATTTTAGAAGAAGAGATTAAATCTGTTTTTATTTTGTTTAAATGACTTTTTACACATCATTTCCATCTGTGCTTTATTGTCAACATTTGCATTTATGCTGAGTGCATGTGAGTGAACTTGCCTTGGTGCACATGTTCTATGGTTTTGTGGATTATAAGAATCTTTTATATGCGAAGTTAGTGGAGTTTTTAATACAGTGATGTTGGGGAAGACTCCGATGGCCTTTATGTTCAATATGAATTGTGACTTCATGTGATTCCCCATGTTTTGATGCCGAAGTGTCAAATTATACATGTTATTAAAGAAAAAGATAAAACCTGATCTGAAATGTGTGATTTTATGTGATATTAAAGTGATGTTTAATGCTTTTTACCCTGAAATCTGAGAAATTTTGAGTTGAAAGTATAAAAAACACAAAAGACTTGCGTGACTTTCTTGATCTCTGAAGTGGTTTATTTGACTGCACATGTGAGGCTTCAACCTGACAAATATCTCAA